GCCCCTTTAAACCTCTCTGCACGGCCCTGTTACTCAGTTAAATAAAAATTAAAAAAAAACCCAGTTTTCATGGATACCTGGATTTCAAACTTAATTTTTACAACTGGTAGAGCAGCCACATTGATCATTTTATTAAAGACGAAATAATAATTTAGACAGTAACTCGCAGTGATCCTGTGACTTTTGAACTTGAGGCGGAGTTCTGACCCGGAAGCGGCTAATGACGTCCGGAAAAACGCGTCTCTGTGTAGAGATTATGAGCGACAGGAGTAAATACGTTTAATATAATCATCTTTAAGTTTGTTGAAATATTGAAATATATAATGAAAATATGTAACTTTTTTTTTTACCGCGTTTGTAACAGAAAACGAACATGGCGACGGTTTATTTCTGTAACGTTAACCCGCGCCAGTGTCCTCTCTCTGGAGATTTATTTGGAAATATGACACAGAGAATACACAGAGCATGACGGTATACACAGGCTTTATGACTAAGTTTCTGCTCGCCGGTTTGTAGATGTCAGGATGGCCGAGCGGTCTAAGGCGCTGCGTTCAGGTCGCAGTCTCCCCTGGAGGCGTGGGTTCGAATCCCACTTCTGACAGTATTTTTTTCTTTTCTTCCTTCCTTCCCATCATCGCCACAAAATGTTTTCATTACTGTTCTTATCATCAGTTTTCACAACGTGATCACTCCAAACTAATTACATTTATTATTGGCTGCAGTTGTGGACTTAATGATACTCATGAAAATAATAACGGGGTGTACTGTACTTTGTGGTATAATGCCACTTTTATGTAAAATATACTATTTAAAGATAAATGTACATCTCTTTCAGCTGCATTTATTTCTTTGTCTCTTTTTGGACAGCAAAAGAAAGTTTGTTCCTAGCAGCACTGCCTCATTGAGGAGCTTATAAATAAGAAATCTTGGCTTGACAGCACCATCAAGTGGAACATGTGTGCAGGTCATAAAAACAAAACTAAAAAAAAAACTAAATTCCTTAAACACACAAGTGACTGATTGCTGACTAAGGACAACAAAAAACGTGAGACCAAAATAACAATCAGTAAAGATTTTATTTTTCACAATGTGGCCTTGACTCAAAACGTATTTAAAATATAAAAAGAAAAGTGTCAGAAGTGCTGACAAGGTAGTGACAATATTTTGTCTTAATCAGGCAATTACTTTTTGTTTTAAGTTTTAGATATTTAAAAGTATGTGAAATTTAATAACAAAAACATCTTTTGGTACTACATGTTTAGTCAAAATGATCAGAAACAGAAATTAGAACCAATATATTATTTTTCACACAAACAGCTGTTTAACATAAAGAACTGTTTAAATTCCTTAAACATCCACAAAACAAGCCCAAACTTTTTCTGAGTGACATCGTCCCCTCACATCCCCCAGTGGACTCAAGCTTCACAAGAGCCTTCCTCTTCCGGCTCCAGGAACCTGAAAGTGCCAGAAGTTAAGCACAAAAAATGTGATATTTATCTCACAAATCCACACACATTTCATTGTTCTTTCATTCATTTATTCACTGACTAAAGCACAACTGATATATATTACACTAAGAATACTGAATCGTGGATTTGAATTCATTAAAAAAACATATCAAAGGACTAAATATGTGCTTATTTTGATCACTTCTAATACACTTTCAGTCAGATTTTAAATTATAAAGCATACCTGAGTCCTAGCATGACATCGACATAGCTGGCATGTCCAGCATCCACCAGCTCCTTGGCAACATGGACGCCATCTACAAGAATGTCCACCTTCCAGTCTGTGTTTGACACAAACTCTCTGAAGAAGATCTGGAGGTTCTTCTCATACAAACATTGCTGGAAGAAGACCACCGCCTCATCAGGCCACTGATCATCCAATCCAGCTGGCTTCACACCTCTCAGGATGCAGGAATAAGTGACCTTTGGGAGGGCTGTTATCCTGTCTGGACTTCTGTGTGTCTCTAGAGACACACAGAAGTCCGAAGGAGTTTTAACTGCATCGGCAAATCCAGAATAGAACTTGTCCAGTTTAACAAGCCGCTGAGGAGGGCAGGTCTCCAAGGTTGGTCCTTTTTCAGTGCCTCCATTTTGACTGGCTTGAATAGATGGGGTAAGGGATGCATTTCCAAATTTCTTTGTCGTCTTACTCTTGCTACTCTTGACTCTTAT